AAAGAGAAAGGGACTTAAATTAGGCCTCCGGCACCACACTCATCAGACGAAACACGGAATTGCTTCCATTTCACGCCTGTCTTCTGTGTGTGCCTGTCATATGTAATGATTGTAGTTAATAATCATTGGGCGGCCGTTTTAGTAACATTAGGTATAGTAATATTAGTTAGCTATATGTTTTTTATGTTGAAGTTTTATCTATTGTTGTTAAATGTAATAATAATATTTTTTCCATTTATAAATGACTAGCTATTCCCATGCGACTTCATTCGCATGAAATTATGAAAATTGTTTAATTCATTACATTTGTCAAATTCAATTGTAAATGTCAAAATTCCTAATGTTTGCAGCAACTTCTGGTCTCTTTCCCACATCAGAGTTTTTATCCAAAATATTTACCCCCTAAGTTCAATGGCGTGAAAATATATAGCCTAAAGCGTGATGTAAGTGTGGGACTTTTTATGAAAAAAAGAACTATTTAAAAATATACTGTAATTGCTGACATCTAAGGCAACAAAGAAGTGTGTGTTTACGCTTTATTATAATAGTATAGATTCACGTCATTTCTTCATTATTATCATCAGCCTTTATCTGCTCACTGACATTTAATAAGTTTGATTACTTTAATCATTTTACTTTTAACTAGCACTCGCCCGCGACACTGTCCGCGCGGAATTATAAAATTAAGTACTCCAAGAAGCCTATGTGTTCCTCAAGACTTTTCGATCGAAATCTGTGAGACCGTTCTGAAGATATGTTGTAATATCCATCCATCCCAAACTTTCTCATTAATAATGTTAAGAAATGCGAAATTATAATCTTACTTCTTACTAATATTATAAATGCGAAATTTTAGATGGATGGATGGATGGATGGATGGATGTTTGTTAGCGTTTGTAGCCTAAACGGCTGGACGGATCTCCATGAAATTTGGCACAGGATTAGAGCATAGTCTGGAAGAACACATAGGCTACTTTTAATGCCGGGAATAGTTACGGTTCCCGTGGGATTCATTGATTTAGTTTTTTAATATTCACTCGATCATTCTGCAACGGTTCAACATATCTTATTGAAATTTGGCACAGATATAAAACAAAGTTTGGAGTACACATAAGATAAGCTTCATCCCAGAGAAATGTCCGGTTCCCGAGGGATACGTAGCTTTTTGTAATTTATATAGTTCGTATGTTTTCTAATACTACGCGGACGAAGTCGCGGGCAACAGCTCGTTAGTTAATAAGGGTAAGAGTATGATTTCAGCTGACTAGTTTTAATGTAAATAAATAGAATTTTGTTAATCTCGCCATTTTATTTAAATTTACCCTATGAAAGATTTCAAATTATTAAACGAAGTTTTTTTTCCAATTTATTCACCCCATAAATTTAATACAGTATGTAGCCTAAAGCGTGTTATAAGTGCTGGGATTTTTATCAAAAAATTATGTTCAAAAATATACGATTATTAACACCATATATAACAGAGAAGTTTGTGTTTACGTTTTATTATCTAACTTCATACAAATATTACAAAAGCGAAAGTTTTCATGGATGTTTGTTACATAAACTGCTGAACAGATCTCGATGATAGGCACAGATGTAATATGCAGTCAGGAAGAACACATAGGCTACTTACTAAGTTTTTTTTATTCCGCACAGACGGAGTCGTGGTCGAAAGCTAGTATTAGTAAAAATGTTTTTTATTTCATTTCTGTTAATGATGTCAACATTCCCATGTCAAACTACACGTGCAATACCGTATTGCCATTTCTCTCATTCCCTTTGTATAATATGGGATAGCAACATATTTTTGTAACTAACGGACTCCGATTATTTGCACTAAAAATAGATTATGATTAGATTATATGCCAGGGGTGCTCAACCTACTTTATAGTTCGAGATATTTACAATTGCTTATCCTGAGCTGTAATTGTAAATACCTATATAAAAGATTAACCGATACTCAAATCTCGAACAAAAACATCGTGATGCAATCTGCACATGTCGGTGACGAAATTTAAAGATATTTTCAAACCAATATGACTTAGGGTCCTTCAAGAAGCGAGCCTACAATTTCCTCAAATGCCGGCAACGCAAATAGTTCCTCTGGTGTTGCGGATGTTTGTACGTCGTTGACCACCTCTGTATTCCCGCTGCTCGTTTGCCCCCTTCTGTTATAAAAAAATGTGTGAAGTCAACCAGCAGTGGGCAGCGTGGTTGACCTAGTCAGCCGAAACTTAGGGTAGAGTCTTAGAGCCTTAGTGGAGAGGTGTAGTATGTTGGTGACGATAATTTTAAAGATATTCCAATATGGCAAACACTAACATTTTTAATGGAATTAAAAGATTATCATTAACGATGTATTACATATTTAAGTGTCAATTAAATATTTATTTGTTCCTTTATAGTTGCTGTATTTTAGAAGACTAGATCTCTTAAAATGATTATAATTCTCATATTCTAAAAAATAAACGAACAGGTGGTTATTTCCGAGTCACAAATAATCCTCGCATGCGACCCACAGTTTGCAACTCCTGGTATTTTTAAATTATCATGTTGATAACTTCTATCTACTCTAACTGAAGAAAAATGTTCGTTATATTAATTATACAACAATCTATTCGTCTAAATTTTACCATTTATAATATTAGTAAGACTAGCTATCACCGCCGACTGTCCGCGCTGAATTAAAAAAGGAGGAATATATCAAATTTCATTAAAATCGGTTCAGTCGTTTAGACAGTAAACTCTAACAAACAACCATAAACTTTCGGGTTTATTAGTAAGACTATATAAAGTAAAGTAAAAATTAATGTCGAGAAAAAAAAATCTTATTTCTCGAATAACATTTGCGTTGGTTATAACGATAATCTATATTTCAAAATTGTCTGTCTGTCCATCTGTTTGCAAGCAGTCTTAGTTCGGGGTCGTCTCCGGAACAACTAACGAGCCGATTACGAACGATTTCTAACGAGAAGGTTTATATTTTTTATTAAATTCGGTGACAATGTCGCGTGGGACTACTGGTTATATTTTGATACTTGATTACGCCAACGATTCCGTCCGCGTAGAATTAAAAACAAAAGTGAGTAGCTTACGTGTCCTTCCAGACTATACGCTACATTTGTACCAAAATTCATCCAAATCCGGATGGTGCCGGAGGATGGATCCGATGATGCCGGAGGCCTAATTTAAGTCCCTTTCTTTCTACCACCCTTTTCTTATAAGGAGAGGATGGGAAGGGGAAGTGGACTTGACGGTGGAGGAGATGCATATGAAGGGACAATATCCTCTTTA